ACCCCTCCACACGCACCGCCAGACCCTCAAGCGCAAATTCAAGTCTCAGGCCGTGGGCGACTCTCTGCCTCTCGTGTGGTCCCAGCTGGAGCACACGGATGCCACGAAGAAATCCACGGAAAAGAAGTAGGCTCGGGCCTCGTCGACCAGCAGGGCAAGGGGGCCGGGGGTGGGTCTCGGTGCAGAAGCTGCCAGACTCACACCAAATTTCCCCTGCAGGCCCCAACCCGACCTCCCCTCTGGCAGACCGAAGACTGAAATCCAAGTTTCTGGTGAGCACACATCCCCCTCCATGAATGGACCCCCGAAATTCTGACTCTTCTGCGGAGGGCTCAGACAGTTTTCTCCCTGCATCCCCTCCCCCCACCCCCCCAGAGGAGCCCAGCATCACCATTCGGACCATCTTCAGCATCATTTCCAACACACCAGACCACATGGAGTCTTCTCCCAAGGCAGTTGTATACCCAGGGCTGGGGCAACACTTGAGACAGGGCAGGGGGGGCTGGGGGCCTGGACCCCCGGGCCTGAGGGGGGGCTGGGGGCCTGGACCCCCGGGCCTGAGGGGGGAGGGGCGGGGGTCTGCACTTCCGGTTCTAAGGGAGGTGGGGCCGCGGCCGGCTTCCAGGCGTCTCCAGCAGCCTGACCACCAATGCCCTCCCGTCCCCCACCCGCAGGGTTGCTCTGACTCTGAGGGTGGCACGTGCCTGGCAGGCTTATTGGAGACCCCTTTACACTGCATCTCGGAGGACAGCCCTGAAATGCCCCTGCTGGGCGCCTGTGACGACCTGGATATGTGCGCGTGGCAGCAGGATGTACACAACCTGATGGACCCTGAGACCAGCACCATGTCCACCTGCTCCATCCGCCCAGCCGCCTACACTCCCGACTTCCCCAGTTTCAACGAGAAGGCCAGGCCGCTGCCGCGCACCTGGAAGCCTCCAGCTGTGCCCGCTGCCCCTCGGAAGGCTCCCTTCATCCTTGACCAGTCTAAGAGGGTCTCGGCTGTGCCGGCTCCACTGCAGATGTCCACTGCGCCTGGCCCCTCCCAGAAGGCCACAGCTTATCCTCGTGCTCCCCAAAAAGGCCCATTTCAGAACCCCCCTCATGCACCAACCGTTCCCCAAAAGGCCACAGCCGTGCCTGGCCCATCTCAGAAGCCCCGTCATGCACCAGCCATCCCCCAGAAGGCCCCAGCCATGGCTGTGCCATCTCAGAGGGCCCCAGGAACACTTGGTGTTTCCCCAAAGGCTGTTTCCCACCCTGCTCCCAACAGAAAATCTGTGTTCCTACCTGCCCCATCCCTGAAGGATCTGACCTCATCCACCCAACACCACATGACACTGGGCCCTAACAGTGTCAGCGTGGTGCCTGCCAGAAGCCACACAGGGGACCTGCTTGAGAAGAGGAAGCCTGAAGAGAAGCCAGAGCCAGTGAAGTTGATGGGCACCAAGGAGAAGAACGTGGTAGAGATGAGAACTCAGAAAACGACCGTGGAGGTGCCTTTTACCACCACCGAGAAGACGTCAGAGGAAGTCCTGATCCGCAGGGCCCAGGAGATCGCCGTGGACGGCTTGAAGGGCAAGGGCAAGCTGGAGGACAGGGTCCACACAATGAAGGAAGAGATCGCTCAGGACATGCCAGGCTTCAAATCCAAGGAGGTGGGGCAGCAGAAGAAGTGGGTCAAGTCCAAGAAACTGGCCATCCAACAAGCCCCCCAGGAGCAGACCAGGCCCTTCTCTGTGGAAGGGCTCACCCTTGCCAAGCTGATGATCATTGCCGGCTCCAAGGATCCCACCTTGAGGTCGGCTCTGGTCGACCTGCCCTCCTGGTTCTCAACTTCACAGGGGCGTGACTTGTCCACGATGGGCAGGGTACCCCTTAGCCCCACCCATTTGTCCATGCTGGAGGAGACACTGGCGGGGGTCAGGGAGCAGCCACAGTTGGGGGTCAGGGTGGAGGAGATGCCCCAGGACTCAAAGGGACCTTCCAATGTGTCCTCTCGCCCCAGGCATGTGGCCAGCAGCCCCAAGATGAATGTTGCCTTTCAGACTCCCATCCCTCTGCCCGCCACGAGGTGGGAGGACATACCCGAGTCACCCACCTCGCTGACCCCCATCTCAAAGATGGAGGCCAGGGTCTCCCAGCAGCCCAGGAAGGTGTCTCAAGAACCTGAGAGGGGGCCAGACCAGGGCCCTGTGGCCACAGTGGGGTCGAACTTGGAGATCCTCCTGCCCACCCTCTTGGAAATCCAGAGTATGAAGGACGAGGCCTTCAAGGTAGAGAAGATAAAGGAGGAGCTGGGCGCCTTCGCTCCTTCGCCCAGGTATTTGGCGGTGGTCATGATCCTCTCTACCTGGTGTTCACGAGGAGGCAGGGGGCTCACTCCCTCTTTCCTCACTTCCCTCTGGGCTCTCAGCATAGAGTGAGCATCGACCAGGTGCCAGGCATCATTCTATGCACTAGGGACATGGCACGGAGCAATTCAGGGGAGGGGGTTGCTCCTGGCATCTTTGTGGAGCCCAGGGATACCCCTCAACATCCCACAGTGTAAGGGATGGTGCCCCCCACCAAAGGATGAAGCCCTACAAGATCGCAATAGTGCTGAGGTTGGCAACTCTGACGACAGAATCCACATTAATTATATCGTACATTAGAAAGCGGGAGGGCTCTGGGCACATCGCAGGGTAGGGAGAGTTAGGTGTGGGGGTAGGCAGGTTCCGGGACTGAGTTGAGTTGGTCCAGGAGGGACTCAGTGAGCTGGCATCATCTGTGTGAAGATCTCAAGGAGGTAGGTGAGGAAGCTGTGCGGACATCTGGGGATGTCCCTTCAGAAAGGACAGCCGCGGCAGAGTCCCTGAGGCAGGAGAGCACGTGATGTGTTGGACTGTCTCAGAGCTCTGGGACATCCTGGGGTGGGAATCGCGGTCACACAGGGCCTTGCAGGCCACCTGAAGTAGTGTGGGTTCGCTGCTGAGTGGCCCTGGAGGGTTTTGAGCAGGACGGCTGGAACTTACATATATTAGAAAGGACGCTCTCTGGCTGAAGGGTGGAGAGGTGGAGGGGGACAGATGGATGCCAGGAGAGGAGTGGGACAGGCCGTTGCCATGGTGACCGAGGCAAAAGGTGATGGTGGCTTGGACCAGAGAGGCAGGGACGGGAGTACGGAGGAGTGGGGCTCTGCAGATGCTCTGATGGTTGAGCCCATGGGTCACCTCATGGGCTGTGCGTGTTTGATGTGGCACCAAGGGTGACCTCGAGGTTTGGGATCAGGGACACCCAGAAGGAGCGGCAGTGGAGGCTGTGGGCGGAGCAGGTGTCAGGGAGAAGACTGGGAATTCTGTCCTGGACATCTTTCCTCTGAGATGTCAGGTGAGGATGTGGGGTAAGCGGCTGGACACGAGTCTAGAATGATGTGGGGAGTCACCAACACATGGACAGCTTCTGCAAGCTATGAGCCTGGAGGTCACCAGCTAGTGAGGGCAGGTAGAGACAGGGTCCACGGTGTTTAGGGAAAGGGAAAACACGGTCAGAGAGGGTGAGCACGGAACAGCCTCCTGAACCCACCAAGTGAAGAAAATGACCAGGAACATCGTGGGAGCAGCTGTGTCGAATGCTGCAAGCAGGTGAAGGAAGATGGGAGGAGACAGAACCTCTGGATTTAACAGCAAGGAGGGGAAGAGGGAGGACCTGAATGGGGTAGGCTCAGGTGAGCTGCGACTCTTGAAAACGTGGCTGAGTGAAAGGAGCCAGACACACAAGGCCATGTCGTGTGCAATGTGGTTTGCATGAAACGTCCAGATGAGGCAAATCCCAAGAGACAGGAAACAGATTGGTGGCTGCCTGCCGGGAGCTGCAAGGGGTGGGAGGGATGGGGAGTGACTGCCTCAAGGATGTGAGGTTTCCTTCTGGGATGATGAAAACGTCCTGGGAACTACGTGGTTGCACAATATTTGAGTGCAATTTAACGCCACTGAGTTGCACACTTTCAAATCATTACAGTGGTAATTTTTGCAGGGTGTGTATTTCCCCAGTCGTTAAACACACACACACACATACGTAAAGTGGGGAATTGGAGAGGAGGTGTTAACCAGCTCTTTCCAAGGAATTCGCTGGAAGGGAAGGAGGAACCTGAAGAGGAAGCTGATTTAGGATGTGGGACAGGAGAGGACTTCTTGAGAGGAAGGAGATGTTAGTGCATTTGGATGCTGGGGTGAAGGATCCAGAGTCAGGCTTGACACTGGGGAGGCAGGGGGGAGGGAAAGCTAGGAGGGACCTCGGAGGACACATGGGCTCCAGGTCAGGCCTGCCGGGCCCTGGAGCAGGAACCACCCCCCATCTACACTCACTCCTCTCTTCCCGCGGGTCCCCCAAGCCCTCTCTAGCTTTCTCTCTCTCTCTCTCTCCAGCAGGCCGCACTCGCAGCAGTCTCAGTAGTGGGATGGGACGGACTCAACTTCAGTCGCCAGTGTCCAGAGGAGCCTAGCGGGGCCAGGTAGCCCCTGAGCCCTGTAGGTCCGCCGGACACCTGGCCCTGGCATCCAGCAGCCCGGCCCTTACCCTGGCTCTTTCCTCTTCCTCACAGGCCCCCAGGTGCTGTGCACCTCTACTGTAAGAAGCAGGGTGCTGAAAAGGCCGGGCAGGGGCGGGGTGCTTCTCGTCGGGTAGAGACCAGAGCTATCTATACGTTTATATAGGGGACGGGGCGGGGGGCGGGGGCCGAGGCCCGGGAGAGCCCGCGTGGTGCCCCAGCTTCGCAGAGATTAAAAGCCCGAGTCTGAGACTCGGCCGGAGTAGCGCCTGCTGCCTGTGTGCGCGCGTCGGCACCGAGAGGGGGCGGCGGGTGGCGGAGGGGGGGTCGTCCGCACCGACCCGGCGCGGCGGCCCGCAATGTTTCCTGTAGCGCAGCGGCGCCCATTGGCTGGGGCTCCGGGGGGCGCAGCCAATCGGGCCCGAGGGGTAGTGCTTCCTGGGCTGGGACCCTCGAGACTCCGCAGTAAGGGCCACCCCCGACGGAGCCACAGGCACAGCTGAGTCAGCGACCCGCCGACGGCCTGCTGAGCGCCGGACAGGTGGGGACGGGGGCTGGGCTTCAGGGCGAGCGTCAGGCGCCGGGCGGAGCGAGGGGTGCGGGTCGGCCCCACGGAGCTCACCCCTCCCCGCAGCGCCGCCTTCGCCGATGCTGGGTGCTGAGTGCCCGAAGCCCTGCAAGGGGAAATGGCCAACGCCGCCCTTCGACCCGCGCTTCCCCAACCAGAACCAGACCCGCAACTGCTACCAAAACTTCCTGGGTAAGACCTCTCGGGCCAGGTCAGAGGCGGCGGGTGAGAAAAGGTGCGAGGCGAGGCGGGGAGGGGCGCGCCCCGCCGGAGGACGCGGAGACCGTTGGGGTGGAGGGGGAACCGGCGACGGCAGGTGAGGCGGGGGCCTCGTTAAAGGGGCGTGGCCTCGTTTAAAAGGGGCGGGATCGTTCCGTGGAGGGTCGGGTCCTCCAGGTTGGGGTGGAAGGGGGAGCCGGCGACGGCCGGGGCCTATCGGTGATGGGCGGGGCCTCTTTTAAAGGGGCGGATCGTTCCGTGGAGGGGCGGGGCGAGGGAAGAGAGGGTCCTCCAGGTTGGGCTGGGACTGAATCTCGGAAGGGGCGGGGCCTACCAGGTAGGGGCGTGACCTTATTTAAAAGGGGCGGGACCGTCCCGTGGAAGGGCGGGGCGAGGGAGGAGCGGAGCCTTGCCTGGAAGAAGAAGGTCCGAGTCGTGGAGGGGGCGGGGGTTAGGGGAGGTGGGCGGGGCCTGGGAGGGCGGAGCGGAGCCTTCCAGGTTGGGCTGGGACTGAATCTCGGAAGGGGCGGGGCCTATCCTGGAGGCGTGTGACAGAGTCCTGGAAGGGTGGGAAGAGAGGATAGGCGGGGCCTTGCGGGGAGGAGGAGGGGCTGGCCCTCTCGGAGGGCGTGGCTACGAGGGGCGGGGAGAGTGCGGGCCCGGCGGGAGGGCGGGGCCTCCTGTGGGGACGGGACTACCCATCTGCTCGCCCCGCCCCACCCCGCCCCGTCCCCGTCGGCAGACTACCATCGCTGCATCAAGACCATGAACCGCCGAGGGAAGAGCACACAGCCCTGCGAGTACTACTTCCGCGTGTACCACTCACTGTGTCCCATCAGCTGGGTGAGCGGACAGAGGGCCGCGCGGACAGGCCGGGAGAGGGTGGATGGGTCGGCTGAGTTAGGACGGCACCGACTCCCCTCTTCCCCACCCCCAGGTGCAGCGCTGGAAAGAGCAGATCAAGGACGGGACTTTCGCTGGGAAAATCTAACGGTCTGAGCGCGGCTTCTCCTCCTAAGAATTAGCCCCAGTGACATTCCCCACCCCGTCTTCTCGTCTCCCGGAAAATGGGCCCCACTGCCCCAAACCTCACCCTCCTCCGCCCCGTCTTTAAGCCTCAAATAAAGCGGTGTTACTGCTGGTATTTCTCTTTAATGTCTTGTCGGTAAGGATAGGGGGCCTCGGGAGGCCCTTCCTCTACCCTGCCGCCGACACTACTGGTTCCAGTCGTGGGAGGGGTGAGGGAGCCCCGCCAGTCCCCTTCCCAGCTCCCCCCCCCAGCCCCGCCCCGCTCCAGTAGGGTCTGCCTTGGCTGAGCCCCAGCGCTGGTCCGCCAGGATGGCTCCAGGCTCCTTCTGCCTCTCAGTCCCCCACCTGTCACTCAAGTCCCTCAGGGTCCTCTTCCCTTCCTGGACCACCAGTCCCACCCCCTCCATCTCATCTCAGGTACAGAGGAGCAATGTGCATACCACCCAGCACTGACCCTGTCATCCCTCCCTGCTCCAGACCATTCCTGGCTCTTTCCTTTCCCTCGCCCCCATCCCCTTTGACTCCCCTCCCCTCCCAGCACATCCCCGAACCCATCACTTGGGCCTCTCCCAACAGGGTGCCCCGCCTGGCCCCCTCGGTCTTCTCAGCACCTGTCCATGGCCAGGAGCAGCCTTGTCTGCTCAAACACATATCACTTCAGTTTCTCCTGCCAGCTCCTCCCTGTGAGCTCCTCCAGGACACTTGGAACTCCAGGCTGAATTATTCTTTGCTCCCACCCCACTCCGGCTCTGAGCCTGCCCTCAGCCAAGCTCAGGCACAACAATGCTGAGGTTCATCCTGATTCCAGATGCTTCTCAAAATGTCACCTTTCTGGCCACCTCCATCACCACCACCATTGCCCTGAGTCAGGCTGAGTGACCCTCGACAGAACCTGGAGCCTGGGGCTTCTAGCCCGGTCCTACCCTAGATGGGCATGGGCGGGGGGGTGGGGGTGGATTTGACTGTTTCCTCCTGAAGCTGTCAGCCTCTTGGGGCAGCCCGGACCCCCAGACTCTGCCTGCAGTGATCTCATAGGGTCCCCATTCAACCCTAGGGTTCAAAGGTGGCTATTACTAATCTTATGATGACTCCCTGGGTGGCCCTGGACAAGCCTCCTGACCTGCATCACCTCAGTTTCTCCAGCTGTGCAGAGAGATGCTGCAAATCCCATTATCAGGAGAGGTGGGATGACGGGAGGGGCTAGGCGAGATGGGGGGAGAACAGCAGCTTCCACTCCTCCCCCCACCTCTACACTGCCCTCATCGCCCCCTCCTCCAGGGCACACCCCAACGTGCCATTTCCCACGATGGCTCCACCGAAACCTTGGCCCCAGGCTCCCGCTCTCAGACCACAACCTGCAAGGCACCCGGGCAAATGAGGGCACAGGGTGTGGACTCAGACAGACAGACAGGCTGGAAGCTATGGCAGTGGGTGGGGGGGCGGTGTGAGGCATTCTCGCGACCTCCCCTGACCTGCAGACCTCTGGCCCGCACAGAGGTGGCGCTGCCGCAGGGAAGAAAGCAAGCCGCGATGCCACGCGGGCAAGGCAGCTCTGAGTCACAGCACGGACCAGAGGCGGTCTGAGCACTCGCTGAGGTCACCCAGGTAGCGCCAAGCACAGGGTCTGACACCTGTGCGGCCTCGGCTGGCCTCCCGACCTTCACAGGCGCCAGTGCCGCCGCAGCCCCTCCCAGTTCCCCCTTCTTCCCTTCTGGGGCCAGGATCCCAGCCCCATCCCTCCAACACCTCTCGGACATTCTGACTCGCCCAACCTCCCGGCTGGCCACCTCTGTCTGCTGGATGCCTGAGCCCAGGGCAGGGCCAGACCCACCTCACCTCCAGCCAGCGGACCAACACTCTCAGGCCCCAAACTCTGGCTGTGAACACCTCCTCCACCACTCCCGGGTCAGCGTTGCCTGGCTGCATCCTGAAACCCCCGGGTCAGCCTCCCAGGACAAAGGAAACAGAGGCCTCTGGCGTCTCCCTTCCCCCACCCCTCCCCTCACCTGCATCCCCGCCCCCCTCCTCTCCATCCTCACCCTCTTCCAGCCTCCTCTCATCACCACCACCCTCTTCCCGGCCCTCTGCAGCTCCCGCCTCCCCTGACAGGTTCAGGATCACAGAATCACAAAGCCCTTTGCTCCCTGAGCCCTCCTGGCACTGTGCTCTCTGTCCATCCACCACACCATCCCATGGAAGCCACTGCTGAACCGAGCCCTGGGCCTCCCGTGGGCACAGAGCCAGCCTTCCTTCTGGTACCTGCCTCTTTCCCAAAGACCTCAGAGCCTGGATGAGCTCTGAACATGGGTTCAAGTTCCAGCCCTGAAGCCTGCCAGCCCTGTGGCCCCAGACAGACTCCCTAAGGCCTCTGGGCTGGGGCCTTCTCACCCAGATCACAGTGGTGATCTCACCTACACTTTCCAGGGCCGTGGGTAGGATGATGCCGTGTGACCAGCCAGAACAGTGTCCAGCCCAGCTGCTCTCAGGGGGTGTGCGATCTCCATCTGTTAGATAACCTGCAGCATGTCGGTCTAGTTCTGGGGCCCAGTATCACACCAGGTGGTGGGGTGACTGTCAGTTGCCCTTCTGATCAGCAAGCCCACGATGACCAAACCCACCAACAGGGCCCTGGAGCTCCTGGTGTGTGCTGTCGCCTCAGTTGTGTCCGACTCTTTGTGACCCCATGGACTGTGGCCTGCCAGGCTCCTCTGTCCATGGGCTTCTCCAGGCAAGACTACTGGGGTGGGTTGCCATGCCCTCCTCCAGGGGGATGTTCCCGACCCAGCCAGTGATCGAACCCATTTCACCTGCATTGGCAGGCGGGTTCTGGGTTCTTCACCACTAGCGCCACCTGGGAGCTCCTGGAGGCTGAGGGTAAAAGGGTCAGAGAGCGCCCTCAAGGGGAGAAATGGGAGCCAGGCCTGAGTGTCCTGCCTGGCTTTCCCTGCTGTCTCAGGCACAGCGTGCGGCACTTTCTGAGACTCTGGGCTGGAATTATTTCCCATTTCTTTCGGCTTTCTGCTTCTCCTTCTCCTCCGGCCCAGCCTTCCCGTTTCCTTGCTCTGGGCACCTGGTCCATGATGGGGTTCTCAGCCTGAACCTCGACCCTCCGGCCCTCCCCCAGGGCTTGCCCAGACTCAGCTCCATGTCGACACCCCACTCAGGGCCTGACGGCTCACAGGATTCGACAAGGACGTCTCTCAGCTCCCTGTTGAGGCTGGGGCTCTCTCTGCCTGGCGGTGCATGGTGGGCTCGGCGCAGTACCAGCTCTGCGGCCTCAGGCAGATGCGCCTGCCCTCCAGGATCATCTGCAGAGGTGCGCGGCCATCTTGGCAGCTCGGCTGTGGAGGCAGATGCGAGGGTGCCTGGGGCCGTGATGGAGATGGTTGTACTACCTACTGTCCCAGAGGATGGCCCCCAGGGGTACATTTGGCAAGGACCACAGATATTTTTGTCGCCACGGAGGGGGTGCTACTGGCATCTCTGGGTGGAGGATGGAGAGGCCAGTCCTCGTCCTGAGACACAGGACGGGCAGCTCAAGGCGGCAGCAGTGCTGAGGATAAGAGACCCAGATCGCTGGTTCCTCATCTCCGTTGTTTTCAGGTCCAGACGCTTTTGAGGGTTGGATGAAGGCTCTCAGCCCTCTGGGCTCAGAACGCGCATGTGCATGTGCAGTTACTACATGGGAAATGGGCTTCCAGGAGGCCCTCAGAACCTCCAGCGTCCATCCAGGCTAAGACTTGCTCGGTCGTCACATTTGTCTAGAAGGCATGGACTTCTGCTTGTTTAGAGGAACGGGTTCCTTAGTGGCTGTGCCGGCCGTCTCTGTCACCCTCCTCACTGCCACGTGCTGACTGGGAGGTCCTCTCCCACCTCAGGGAGAAAGCTAACAGGGTTCAGTAGGACTCGCATGGAACAAAGACACACTTCCTCGTTCTCAAAGGAATCAAACAGGCTACACATAAATGGTCTTTCCTGGTGGCTCAGATGGTAGTCTGCCTGCAATGCAGAAGACCTGGATACTATCCCTGGGTCAGGAAGACCCCCCGGAGAAGGGAATGGCAGCCCACTCCAGTATTCTTGCCTAGAGAATTCCAGGGACAGAGGAGCCTGATGGGCCACAGCCCATGGGGCCACAAAGACTCAGACACAACTGAGCGACTTTCACTTCAAACTTCATACGTACATGAAACATTTTAAAGTTAAAAAGAATAGTTACCTGCTGTGAACTGGCCACCCTGTTGGCCCACCCGGGTCTTCCGACAGTCCCCTCAGGCCCTCCACGTTCCTCACCAACACAGCCTGGTCTTGTCAGCCTCCAGCGTAAACTTTGCCATGGTTGTCATGGAGGAGATAAACCAGGGCCTGCAGCCCACACCCGACCGCGACACTTGTGATATGCTCATGAGGCCTCAATGAACAAGAAGAAAAATGTCCACAAGACACTTTGCAGGGGTTTGGGGGGGCGCCCGGTATTAGGAAGTGCCAATTGTCAGCTGTATTTCTGTAGAAGGCAATGGCAACCCACTCCAGTACTCTTGCCTGGAAAATCCCATGGACATGGACGGAGGAGCCTGGTGGGCTGCAGTCCATGGGGTTGAGACAAGTCGAACACGACTGAGTGACTTCACTTTCACTTGTCACTTTCATGCATTGGAGAAGGAAATGGCAATCCACTCCGGTGTTCTTGCCTGGAGAATCCCAGGGACGGGGGAGCCTGGTGGGCTGCCGTCTATGGGGTCGCACAGAGTTGGACATGACTGACTCAACTTAGCAGCAGTATTTTTTTTTTAATTTTTATTTTTTTAGCAGCAGTATTTCTGTAAAAGGGGGTTGAGGGGAGGATCAAGAGGTGGTGGGAGGAGTTCTCTGGTGGTCCAGGGGTTAGGATTCTGGGCTTTCACCACCATGGCCCCAGGTTCAATCCCTGGTCAGGGAACTGAAAACAGAACTGGATCTCAAGAAATGAGAATTCACTGTCCTGGCCTCATGGAGCTAGGCCAACCCAGGTGACACACGAGGGACTCGGACTTCAGACAAGGGTGATCTGGCCCCATGTGACCCAGGGTGAGTCACTCTAATTGCTGGACCTCAGTGATCTCATCTGGAAAATGG